ATTGTTGACATTCCACCAATTTATTGGCATGCTGCAGTTATTTTTCAATAATAAAGTTACCAGTTTCCGAATACAGTACTTATTCCAGCTAATAAATAGTAGGTTTAATATTCTATACTACTGGCAACACAGAAACTGTTCCTTTTTAAAGACGGCGTCGCAATAAAAACGTTTTTTTCGTGTTCGGACCTGAGTAAAAAAAACATCAAAATTCCAGTGTTTTTGCTAAGGTAAGAGGTTCACTAATCTCAATAATATTCGTAAATCTTTTGAGTTTTGGTTACAGATACTGTTTGATTCCATTATTTAGTTGTTTAGCTTTCATTTCTAACATTGATTTTGAACGTTTAGGCCCATTTACAATAGTTTTTTGTGGTGCCAACATTTGGTACACATAATATGAATCAAACCTTTTTACTGGCACATGTGTCAATATTAGGTAATTTATGATAAATTTACTTTTAAGACAAAATATACTTTATGTCCATTATTTTTCGATTCAGATTTCAAATAAATGCATAACTTAAGTTAAGAACATATTTTTCCAAATTTTGGCCCACTGCCAATTGTAATAGAAACCATTTATTAGCAGCAGTGTCAATAATTAGTATTTGGGGTGCCAGAAATAATTTTTAAAAATAATTTTCAGTTATCTTCAAAATGAAGCCTCGTACAAAAAACATTAATAAAATAAAGACTGATAAGGTAAAGCAGAAGGTTTATTCAGAAGAATATTTGCAAAAATCCCTTGTAGAAATAGCTAAGGGCATGAGTAAAAAACTTGCTGCTAAGACCTTCCAAGTGCCACGTTCGACCATACAATTCCGATTAAAAAAGCCAGAATATGGCTCTAAGCCAGGCCCTCCCACAATTTTAAATAACGAAGAAGAAGAGGCTTTAGTCAATTGGATCAAACTCAGTAGCCAAAAAGGCTTCAAGAATCAAAAAGATTTGATAAAGTGTTTCGCAGTTTCTGAAAAAATCTAATCGGGCGTCTTCTTTTAAAAATGGTTAGAAATGGTTCAAATTATTCTTAGCCAGACATCCTACGCTTGCTTTTCGTACACCTGAAGCAGTTACAGCCGCCAGCTCAAAAGTGTCAGAAAATGATGTTAGAGGATGGTTTAGGCAAATCAAAGACTACTTTGATGAAAACAATTTATTTCACATACTTTCTGACCCGAGTATTTAATGGAGATGAAACAAATTCTGTTTTGTGCCCTAAAACAGGTCTCGTTTTGAGTTCGAAAGGAGAAATAAATGTGTACGAAGTTGATCACGCCCAGGCCAAAGCTTTGTTGACTGTTATGTTTACTTTTTGCGCAGATGGCAATCTAACTCCACTGATGGTCATTTTTCCTAATAAAAGATTACCTGCAGAAATAACTACTAAAATTCCTTAAGATTGGGGGGTGGGACTTAATGAGAATGGGTGGATGAATTCAGATATTTTTTACGAATACATTAAGAACGTTTTACATCCCCATTTGGTCAAAACAGGCATAAAATTTCCAGTCATACTTTTTGTAGACGGTCACAAGTCTCACCTTACTTATGCCGTGAGTGAACTTTGTTCTAATTTGCAAATAGTTTTGATTGCACTTTATCCAAACTGTACAAGGCTTTTACAGCCTGCTGACGTTGCTGCATTCAAGCCTCTAAAAACAGAATGGCAAAAAACTGTCTTGGAATGGCGTAGAACAAATTCATCCCGGGCACTCACTCAATTTGTGCCATTGCTTAAAGTCACAATAGAAAAAAGCATAAAGCCGCAAACTATTATCAACGGATTTAGAGCAACAGGAATTTGTCCATGGAACGCAGAAGCAGTAGACTACAGTAAATGCCTCGGAACTAAAGGCACAAAAATCACCTCACATCACTCAAGATAACGAGAAATTACTCTCTAAAGACGAGTTTGTTAAATTAATAGACAAGAACAAGGTTGATTGCATAGAAAAAGGAGAGTTAACATCGGAAGAGTCTATTGAGTTGATAAAAAGAATCGGGCATTTCTTCGGCACACCATCAAATTAACAAAACACCATTTCTCAACAACAAAATCTAGAAATCATAAATAAAGATGATGACTTTAGTCATTTGGACATTGAGAATATGCCAATATTTATTAACGATTGGCCAAATAATATTGTTGAACCCGAAGAATCAAAGTTAGTACCTATTTCAGAAGAAATTGAATTTGATAAAATCGTAGTGCTTAGATGAAGGGAATAAGACAATTGAAGATTTATCACAAGAACCACATTTTGAATTAATAAACCACGGTGTTCAAATACATAATACACCTGAAGACCAGAAATTAGATTTACCAAAGTCTCAATCAGTACAAATTATTTCAGTTCAATGTAATCCATCCCTCGCAGCTTCAATGAACATGAAAAATCTTACTCCCGTTAAATTAAAAGATATTTTGATATTACCTAAAACACCGATAAGAAAAGGAGTTAAAAACTCTGTAAAAATCCCATTTGTACTAACTTCGGCACAGCGGAAAGCACAAGAAAGTGAAAAAATCAGAATAAAAGAAGAAAAAGCAGAAGGATCAAGAAAAGAAAAGAAGAAAGGGAACGAAAGAAAATAGAAAATGAGAAACGACCGGCGCCAAAGAAACAAAAAAAATAAGGCTAATGACGAAATACCAAAGATATTATTTTCTGAGAAATTTTATAAATTTGATAGTGAAGATACCATTGTTGAAAATAAAGAAAATGATCAGGAGTTAATTGATATCTTAGACAGACAGCATAGAGGAGGGAGTATTGGTAATAGAACATATATACCACTGCTGAAATAGAAAAAATGTTGACTGAATTAGATGATTATTATGAACGATCTCAGTTAATTACTTTTTATAATTTTATTATTATTTTGTTAATGATTACTTAATTTTTTATATTTTGTAAGAAACTTAAAAGAAGTTCCTAAACTATTTTCTTTGATAAAAATAAATAACATTTTTTAATACTCTTCTAGTATTTTATTTCTGTAACCTATGCCTAAATTAAAAAATCCATTAGAAGGAAATCAGTTAATATCACATAAATCTACCTGGGTATGTTATGCTCATATTGTAATTCGTATAGGTGAGCCAATAATAGGTTATGTTTCCTGCCAATAAAGCGATTTTCTATGCTAATGATTGGTCTTTCCACTCATCATTTAATTTAAAAAAAAATTAAATCAAACTGCGTAATCTAAAATAATGTGTACTGAAAAACGTTCTTTAATGATATTAGAAGAGTTTAAATACCTCTTTGTTTAAATTTATATTATATGAGCAAAATTAAAAGTGTTTGTGGGATAGCCACTTAAAGTGCCAATAAATGGGTGTTTTACCCTATTTAAACCTTTCATTACTTTTGAATGTCTTGATGGATTGAAATGCGGTTTGCGGCATTCTAAAGATCTCATTGTGGAATAGATTTGGTGATAATGTAAACTAATTCGGACAAGTAGAATTTGAGAAATCTCAAAAATAAAATTTTTGAAAAACTGTTTTTTTTTTGGAATAACTTTTAAACGGCGTCACCAATCGATTTCAAAAATTAATCAGCTCTGAACCTCTAAAAATGACGTCGCATGCCGTTTGGGAAATAAAAATAGGTTCATTCCTTTGTGAGATATCGAAGGAGAAAGAATATGGAAAAAAACGTTTTTTTTAACATAACTTCGATATTTTGCAACATAATTTGGTGAAGTTTGGAGCGCTTTGCATTTGAAATTAGCGGGAAGTTCAAGGGATGGCCTGTAGGGTCAACCAATTTTTTCTTTTGAAAAAAATTTCCTTAACATTACGTATGTCTAGTAGGGATGGGCCGAATATTCGTTTCATATTTGGTATTCGGCAGCTTTACCGAATATTCGTATTAAGCAGCTTTGCCGAATATTCGGCTAAATCACCGAACATTCGTTAAAGTGCTACTCAAGGTGTCCACTGTATTGAAATGTATGAATTGAGTAATGCCATGTCTTTCATAATTTTACTATTGAAAGTATCTTATTTATAAGTTAAATCTGCTTATATAGCGTTAAGTTTTATAGGCACTGTAGATTTATTTCCAATTATAGCAAATATAAAGCTTGATAAAATGTTTTAAGAATCAAACAAAAAAAAATTACATTACATTAATAAATTTCACTTTACTTTGGTCGACAGTCTCTAAAATAAGTCCAAACAGTAGATCTCCTTTATTATCAATTTTCACTAAGAATAACAACGAAATACTTTTTTTCAAAAATAGTCAAAAAATAAGCATGTGCCGGCAATTTACTCAGTACTAGTCAATGAAATAGTATATCAGGTGTGGCTGGGAAGCGAGGGGGAGGGTCTGGCGCTAATCCAATGGCGATAACAAGTTTCAACATAAATTGGTTAGGTACCGAGATGATCCTGCTGAATAATGTTTGGCCGAATATTCAGTTCGGTAAAATTTTTACCGAACGTTCGTCCGAATATTCGTATTTGGTGAAATCCATATTCGGCCCATCTCTAATGTCTAGTATTGGTATTGCTGATATTATTATATGAGTATCAGTATCAATCAGCAGAAGCAATATTGATGCTTTCCCAGTCCTAAGTATACTATTTAGCCAAGTAAACATAGTATGACTTTAAAACTAACAAATTATTTATTGCTTAGGTATGGAATGGATTACATTAAGTAAATTGTAATTCACATCATTCAGACCACCATTTTTATAAAATAAATATTATTAATGAATAAAATATTTCTAAATCTAGAAAAGGAAATATTTGTTATGTTTCAGTTCCTGGCAAGTCCTCAATTATTCTAGTTTTCGTATTTAGTACACAATTTTAATAAAGAATATAATGAAGTAGGAAATAATTATTGTTGTTCATTAATAAATATTAATGTTCATCTATAAATAAGAATGTTCATTAATAAATAAACAGTTACTTGTCCTATCCTTAAACAGAAATATAAATTAACATTTGTTAAGTATTATTTGACTCAGACTCATATTTCCACCTGCAAAACTAGCCCTGCAGCTGATATATTATCCCCAGCTCCAGCTGTCAATTGAGCTTCTGTACAAATTAAGACTGGTGCAACACATATCTCAACTTTAACGCTTTCTATTGTTTCCTCCCAACAAGCCACTGGGTTATTTGCTTCAAAGAACACTCGGCTGTTATTATCATTGTCTGTGGTTGTTGAGAAACTATCATCAAGCAGTAATTTTGTCTTCTCAAGATTGATTTTCTGTGTATTGCAAACATATCTGTGTGCTGTTAATGATGCTTTCGCTGCCGCTGCAGGGGTTCTTTTCCATTTTGAATTTTGTACTGTTAAAATTGCTTGGTATGCTAAAGTGTGCACATGCATACGGGTAAGTTTTCTTTTACTACCAAACTCTTTGTTCTTTTGCCTTATAAGTCTAAACGTATTCCGCATTTGATCAAGCGCTGTAGCTATCCTTGGGTTGGAGTCTGCTACAACCATTACTCTTCCATGCTCTAAAACACTGTTGAGATTGGAGAGTTCTTGTTCATTCATACCCACTGAGTCAACACATGGCAGTACCTTGGTTGTCAGGTGTTTCAACAGCTCCAGATCTACATAACTTGCCATCTCAAAGTGGGCTAATGTGCTTAAAGGCTGAGATAAAATTTGTTGTTTGACCAAATCAAGCCTCTCTGCTCTTAAATCTGGAAAATAAAAGTACTGCATAATGAAACAGATCTCAATTTCAGGATGTAATGTCAATCTTCATATTTTCGCCTTGTAATTTTCCTAAATATGCAACTTTTTTGTTACTAATTGAGTTGCGTTCATATTACTTAGTATAAGCAAAAAACTTTTTAGTAATAGCAAAATAAAAGTGATTACTAGTAAAATCCTATTTTTTGATATAGGTACTTGAGAATATTGTCAAAACATGCAAGGTGTTTTATTTTTTAATATGCAACCTTATTAAAACAATAATGATAGATAATAAATAGGACAAGTGAAGTAGACAATTAAATTCTAAATATCTTTGTAAGTAGAAGAGTAAATGTAGGTAAAAAACAGTAATAATTTTTTTACATTTGAAGATTGATTCATTTGTTAACCATCTTCATCTATTGGATGCTTACATGTTATTTGATAGAAATGACTAATGCAGCTTTCAATAAAAAATCATATATTTTTACTATGAACAAGCAAAGAATAAGTTGTCTCACCTTTACCATCCCGTTGAAATGGAAAGTTGTCCATCATTTGTAAACCACTTATGACTAGTAAATTAGGTTTAAAACTTGGCAAATATTCACCCAGTTTCTCTAAGGAACTCAATAAGGGATTATTCTCGTCATTATGCATAATATATCTATTCGCTCTTGGCGCTTTGTATTCACCAAACCTTTCATCTGCTTTATACTCTAGTATCATATGAATATCATCTCTCACTTCTTCATTTTCATTGTCACCTACTACTAATATTTCCTCAGGAATGTAACTTTTCAGTTTTTTACTCATTTTAGCCCCAAACATCACTTTCCATCCTTCTAGATAGAACCTTTTAGCCATCAGAGGTGCATTTCCACCAATAGCCCATCTTGTATCTGGTAGTTTGAGTGCTTGTTCCACAAGATCATCATATAGTTTACTGTTAGACATAAATCTCCTGTGAAGGATAAGTTTTTGTTTCTTATCATATATTATATTTAAAAAAAAAGATCCACAACTAAAGCAATTCCATAGATGTTGTAAGAGGCAATAGAGGGGAAACAAAACGGGAGATTGGCAACAGCGTCTTCCTGATAACTTAATAATATTAAAAAACTAAGTGGTTGTTCTGTTTCAGCTTCACAAGCATGGCTATTAGAGCAAATATAACCTTTATGCAATGGCAATCTATGGTGGAGTCTTCAGCAGTGGACTATCAATAAGCTGTAATGAATGAATAAACAACAATAAAATATTTCGTTAGACATTACAACAGATTAAATTATAATGTAGAGCATCGGACTCTTTATTATAACAAATAGTCATTAATAGATTTTACTTACTCAGCAGCTGCACCATGTTTAAAAAAGTATGCAAAACTTTTAACAAACTCTTCTTTATTAGAGATCTCATTGAAGTGCTCCGGGCTGCCTTTCAGATCACGATAATCTAGGAGTAATGTTGCGTTTACAAATAAGTCGTGGCATGCTCCATAACCTAACGCTACTTTAGGCTGCGAAACTCCTACACCGACTTTGTTCTTACTTTCCAAAAACAACAAATGTTCCTTAACAGGCACTAATCTTTCATCATTTATCTCAATTTTACGAAAATAAATAGCATATAGGACAATACAAAAAGAGATTAAAGATCCTAATTTCATCGGCGCGCCCGCCATTTTTAGCATAAAATTAAATATTTATGACTATAATGTAGTGGAATGATCAGACTTTAAACTTTACGTAAATCCACGTCACGTCATTTTTATTGCATTGTAAATATTTTATTAATTACAATCAAACCTGATACCGAAACACAATCGGTCATTGACTGTCATCATAGATAAACCATAGATAAATAAATATGTAGCAAGAGATAAACTGTCATAAGTAGATTAGATGTCACTTGTCATTTTTTTTATTAACTGACTTTACAGCTCTGGGTTCTAGCCCTTCTGAGCCTGAAGTTACAACATATAATTTAACCCGCTGTTACGCGCGGCTTCGCTCGCATGGTCACTGGGAAATGAACTATCCATTGCTTTTTGAATTGAAAGAAAACTGAGCTTTATAGATTTGTCAGAGATGCAGCGATTAAAAGGAAACTGAGCAAAATTGATTCGTCAGCCTATTTAAATGTTTTGAAACGCAGCGTATAGGAAAGCATGAAAATAGCCTGTTTATTCCAAATGGAAATGGGATATTTTTTTAATTAAAGGAAACTGAGCATAATTATCCGTCAGGGATGCAGACTTTTGAAAATAAACTGAGCTTAATTGATTCGTCAGAGATGCAGTTTTCTGAATTGAAAGGAAACTGAGCCAAATAAAAGACCCGTCAGAGATGCAGCCTTTTGAGTTGAAAGGAAACTGAGCTCAATAGGTCCGTCAGAGGTGCAGCATTTGGAATTGAAAAGAAACTGAGCTAAATAGGAAATTTTGAATTGAAAGGGAAGATCTGTGGAAATTCAGATTAATTGATTGTGGGAATTTTGGAAAAAAAAAACTAACTGAACACTATTTTAAGATGCTACTGTACACAATGTTATATGTTTTTCCATTCGGGGAAAGAATGTGGAGATTCTGGGCATTTGATACACGCGAACATGCTACATACAGCTGACCATGAGAGAACCACGGTTTTTCTAAGTTGACCCCCGCTACCTGTAACGTGCAAAACTGAGCTTAATAGGGAACTGCAACCTTTTGAATTGAAAAGGAAGATCTGTGGGAATTATAGGGATCCATGGTATAATAACATTTTCACCTTTTCCTACGCCTGTCAAAATTGTAGCACCGATTATGTTCCGTCCAAGATGTGTCACACGCAGCATTGTCCCGTTACATAACCGAGGAGCATCTAAATTTCGCATTAGCATGACTGGGACGCCTAATTTTAATTGAAGCTTATGTGAGGGCACACCTGACAACTCTAGAGAATTTAGAAACTCTACGGGATATGAAGTGCTCTGTTCTGTGTCCATAACTGTGTCTACTGACAAATACTCCGTTATTTCTCCTGCTACTTCGCTTATAGTTCATAAAAGATAGCTTGATCTCTGCGACAGCTGTCAGTAAAAATCACGCCTATGAAGTCCTGAATTTCTTAGTAGTACAGACAGTACCTGTCAATGTCATACTTTATGGTCATGCACTAATTAGGTCGGCATGCCCATAAAGAATGACATTGAGAGGTACTGTCTGTACTACTAAGAAATTCAGGACTTCATAGGCGTGATTTTTACTGACAGCTGTCGCAGAGATCAAGCTATCCATTATGAACTATATATGAATTTATTTTGTTAACTCTCTCATTTTTTGGTGCAAGAATCGCCCTTTCACATAACCATTTGTCTTCGTGCATGTTGTTCGTTAAATCTGAATAAACGCTCGCAATTAATTCGGAATGACTCTGTACTAAATTACAAAAAACTCTTGTCAATTTAACGCAGCCCTCAGCATCCGTTTCCAACCGCCCATCGCCAATTTTTAATAGTGTGTCAGCATAGTTTCCAGCATTGATATGAAACAAAATCCAAAAAGGTCAGTCAAGAAAAGATACTCTTTTTTTTACAACAAAAGAACAAACCACACGGCCGCCATTACATTATACAAATGCACTCTCATATTCGTAGTTAAACTGAATTTTGTCACCTTGTTCCATAAAATAGACGACTTGAGGCATGCTTTAATTTCATCAGCAGGTGTGCCCTTTTGAATGACAGATAAAGTTTGGCGAAAGTCACCAGCCAGTAAAACCACCATTTCTCCCATTACATCGGTATTGCTGCGCAAATCCTGGAGCGTTCGATTTAGTGCTTCTACAGCTTTTTTATGCGACATTGTACTTTCGTCCTACACTAAAAGTGTGCATTGTCGTAGCATTATAGCTCGTGCACTATTTTTGCTAAAGTTGCAGATCGGCGATTCTTCCTGGGCTAGATTTACAGGGAGTTTTAAAACAGAATGGGCAGTGCGGCCTCCGCTTAGCAGCGTGGCGGCTATACCGGAGGAAGCTACGGCCACAACAATGTTTTTATCTTTCCGTACTTGCGCTGATAATAAATTTAACAAAAATGTCTTCCCAGTTCCTCCAGGGGCATATAAAAAGAAAAGTGTAACTTTCCTGCCACCATCTTCGTGAGCTCTGCGTCTGTATAAAGGGCATTGTACTCATGTAGGTAGCGGGGACTCTTAACGAATGATGAGGGCAGAATTACCACTTTACCTAAATCTCTGGGGTTTACATTGGCGTCGCTAGAAACTGCATCTTGTAAATGTATATAATTCTCAACGCGCAGCTTTTTTGATTTAAAGATATATAACGGAGACGTTCACTTTCTACCTTCACATACATGTCTACCAAAAATTGATGAAATAATTGTCTACACCGGGCTAAGAGGTCAAAATCATTTTCTCGCAACATCATATGATACGCATAAAAATCCATACATGATACTTTTTTGTTCGGAGTAGGCTCCTTTGTGACCGGGTTAATGAGTGGAATTTGAAAATGATAACCCTCTTGTCCTTTGCAATAAATCAATGGGTATTACAGAGCGTCATAAAACTTGTGTGTATCGGCTACCCGTTGCAACGTATCATCACGTGCTCGCAAGACCATGTCTCGTGAAGAAAATTGATCACCACTAATTACGGCTGCTATTTCGTTTATCAAAGGTGCATTGTAGCGCCTCTCATGCTCTCCTCGAGGGGTCCGATCTGCGTGAATGACGACTTTATAATCCTCTTCAGGTAGGTTTTCTAAAGCAGTTTTAAATGTTTTGACTAAGATGTTACGTTCATGCAAGAATCTTTGAATTTTGACCACTGTGTCTCTCTCAACTCCCTGGATAAATTGTCAGCGACGGTCTACCTCAATTTCTTCGTCACCCATAAAATATACTTGTAAAAATTTATGCTGTTCGTTTTCAGCTGGAAAAAGTGAACCTATTCTATGATAAATTTGCCCTTGCACCGTAAATGTAGGCGTAAATCCCGGCATTATTATTTCCGGTCAACTCCGAAGGACGTCATTTGAAAGCATGAGCTATATTTCCGGATCCTGTTTAAAAAGCACCGTGACTCATTAGCATCATATAAAAAGAGAGTTTTCAAAGGTTCTTTTGGTTCCCCAAGTAACGGAAGAGACACTTTGCCATTGGAACAGCACATGCCTGCGGTCTCATATCTCCATTTTAAAGCGCTGCAAAATCGACACGCCTTGTCCATCAGTCCGATAACAACTAACCTGTGATTTTTATAATCAATCAATGGATCATAATTGAATGTTTTTGCCGTGGTCGATCAGCTGGTGATCTTCTGGTCTACCTAACTCATAGATGGGTGGAGGCAGTAGAGTCCAAGGGGGAGGCATTGGCCGTTAGTTTGGACATTGCGAAGGCCTTCGATCGGGTTTGGCACAAAGAGCTTCTTTCGAAGCTCCCTTCCTATTGGCTTCCAAGGAAATTTTGCGATTGGATCACCAGCTTTCTTGCCGATCGGAGCATCAAGGTCGTTGTAGACTATGCAAGCTCCGATTACAAGCCTATTAATGCTAGTGTTCCACAAGGCTGCGTGCTATCGCCAACGCTGTTTCTTCTGCATATCAATGATATGTTGCAAACCCGTAACATTCATTGCTATGCAGATGACAGCACTGGTGATGCTCTGTACACCGGCCATGCCAATATTTCTCGGGAAAACGTCTCTGAGTAGCGGGACAAACTTGTGTCTGAAGTCTAGTCTTTGCTTTTTTGCGAATCCTCGGCGTCGACATATCGAGTGCCGTGCAGTTTCGTGGTCACTCGGAAGAGAAGTTCAAATTGGCCTCTAAAAAGCTTGATGTTCCAGCAGAGCGGGACAGTATTTCATGCCGGCACACCGCTTGCAACTTTACAAGGCGCAGGTTCGACCGCACATGGAATACTGTTCCCATCTCCGCGCTGGGGATCCCCAGTACCAGCTCCTTCCACTAGACCGCATCCAGCGCAGAGCGGCTCGAATCGTCTACGACCGAGTGCTTTCCGATCGGCTCGATTCACTGGCGCTGCGAAGAGATGTTGCATCTCTTTGCATTTTCTTTCGTATATACCACGGGGAGTGCTCTGAGGAATTGTTTGGATGAATCCCAGCTGCCAAATTTCGTGAACGCACTACGCGGCAAACGTCCCGATACCATCCACACCATCTGGATGCTTGGCGGTCCACGACTGTACGTTTCACAAGGAGTTTTCTTCCACGCACGACCTCCTTGTGGAATAGTTTACCACCGGCGATTTTTCTGGACCGATACGACCTGGGGACCTTCAAGAAAAGAGCTTACTCCTTTCTAAAGGGCCGGCAACGCACCTGCAATTCCTCTGGTGTTGCGGTTGATCATGAGCGGCGGTAGTCACTTAACATCAGATGAGCCGCATGCTCGTTTGCCCCCTCTTCTATAAAAAAAAAACTGGATAATTAATAAGCAGCATTAACAAGTTGTATATAAAATTGTGAAATTCGAATAAATTGTATATTCATTGTTTTTAAGATTAGTAATAAGCATTTCCTTTTATAATTGATGTAGTCAGTTTACAGCCTGAGTTGCCCATGGCCACCATTGCTCCAATAATTGCTTTCAAAATACTGTCATTTGTTATAATTTGGTCAATAAGAGTGTTATTATTATTAGTTGTACA